TGCATTTTTTAAAAATAATTGAAATCCGGTGAAGAATTTTATTGTTTATGATAATAATTGAATTCTTGTAACGAATTTTATTACATTTTTTTTTAAATAATTGAATTCTTTTGCGAAATTTTATTAAAACAGTAGATTTTGAAAATATTTGAATTTCGCCGAAGAATTTTATAATAATTTTAAAAAAGAAATTGAATTCTTGCAAAAATTTTTCGATCCTTCTTATGAAAATTATTATTTTTCTTGAGAAATTCATTTAAGATTGTATAAAAATAAATAATTGAAATCTTGTGAAAAATTTTATTATTAATGAAAATAATTGAATTCTTACAACGAATTTTATTACATTTTTTTAAATAATTGAATTTATGTGAAAAATTTTATTAATTGTAAAAATAATTGAATTCTTGCGAAGCATTTTCTTAGAATTTTTATAAATAATTTAATTTTTTTTTTGAAAAATTTAATGGAAATTGAAATTATTATAAAACATAAAGAAATCGATTACTCTGAGAGTCGAAGACTCGGAGTGATCCATTTCTTTATGTTTTACAATAATATTCTTATCAGTATGATTATAGGTATGAATTAAAATTTTTTTTTGAAATCTTAATTCCTATACGGAAAATAATAATAATAAAATATTTATTTAAAAAAAAGGTATTTATGTTTTCGAATAATTTTACAATTAAAGAAATTTTTGTAATTAAAGGTAATAGAAAAATTTTTTGAGTATCTATAATAATTTTTAGAGTGAATCAGAATAATATTCTTTAGGGTCAGGGAAAAAGAAAATTAAATTTTTGTGGCAACTCTGAAAAAACTTAGGAGTGGTAAAATTTACTTACGGATGACTATTCGTTATTAAAAATAAAAATATTAATCTTCCTCACTTGATTTCTCATTTTTTTTGAATTTCAATTAATTTAGGAATATTGAGTATAGTTAACGGATAAGGTTATAAGCTGATAGTTAAAATATATATTATTCACATTGAAATGTGTCAATTTGTTAAGAATGTGATAATTTACTTAGTGTTTTAGGAATTTGGAAAGAGAAGGCAGAATTCTTGACTCACACACAGGCATTCTTCAATTGAATTTCTATTTCTCGAGAGAGACATTATTTTTATTTCGACGGTCGTGAGAGCAACACACGGGCCTATTGGGACCTCTGATGAGATTTCAAAGTCATCTATTCTTTCTCTTTTATCTTAATGTTTACGGACCATCATCGATTCCGTCCGGCCTTTCCCTTCATCACCAAGAATGAATTCACGCCCGTGCTCCAAGCCAAACTGGGGGCTGACAGTGCGAACGAAGTGTCTCATAAAACTGCCTGAAATTTTCATTAAAAAAAAAATAGAAAAGCTGATACTTGAATGAAAAAAATCTTTTTTTTCAATTACGTGAAAAAATATTACTAGAATTTCTCCGTCGCTTGGTGGGCAATGATTATACTTCCCCTCGCGGGACAGAAAGGCAATCGATAATTAGATCGAATGTTTATTCAGGTAAAGAGCATCTTTTGCATGGTTCATCGTTTTTCACTGTTTTGCTATTAGTTTCAGTGAGTCATCAGTTGCGTATTCGGAAGGACCGAGAACTTCCGAAGAAATACGGTGCATTTTAGGACCAGAAATAAGAGGGCTTGAAAAAAATCACTGAGATAAAGTCAACTATCTTATATATACCAGTTAAATACTTAAAGGCGATGCCGGCAACTTAAGAGAAAGAACGAAAGAGAGAAAGAGAGAAGTAGTATACCTACTGGAACTTACCTCCCATTGTCTTTATACCAGCTTTATTTTATCCTTCGTTCGATCTCTAATAAACCGTGAATTGTTTGGGTACAAACACCCTTTTTCCCAATAACAAAAAAAGAAAGAAGGACCGAAAGACGAAAATTCGAATATACGATAAGCATCAGATATTTTCTTGTTATTTTACAGCCTATTCGATATATAGTGCTTTTTAAGATGTTTAAATCTTGCTGGTTTTTAATTAATTTCTAATTAATTTCTACTTCAATTTTTTACACGAGATAATTTTTTTATCGTGTGTGTTTCATCCTACAAGTAATATTAAATTATACTATGTATACTAACTGGTATATATATACTTCTAAAAATTATCGCATTTAAAATTATTCAAAATGCTATAAAAGCACTAGACAAAATTCCATCAGTATGACAATGTAGTTTAATTGGGACGGAGAATTTCATGATATCGTGTGTCAGCAGCATAGCTGATTACAGAGGATGCGTCTTTGAGACAAGTACAGAATTGTAGGTTTTATTTCAAGACAGTAGACTTGGGGACAATTTTACTTTAAATTAAAAATTATAACTTGTGCAAATACTTCTGCCTTAATTTTTAAATACTTGGAAAAGTCGCCTATATATAAAATTCAGTATAAACTGCGGTTAGAAATGAGACGAAATTATATATTATTAGAGAAATTAACAATTATTTTTACATTTGAATATAGTACAAAAATTATTCTATTTAATTATTGATTGAAGTAGCATATAAAACATGATATTTAATTTAATATTATGATGCAAATTAGGTACAAACATTTTTTTTCAAATATGAATTAATAGTTTTTGATTAATTTCAGATTCAAAATTTAAAAATTCACTTATTAAGTAAAAAATTAATTATTATTGTTTATTATTTTTTAAAAATTTTAATACATAATTCGAAACAATTCAATTACTTTCATCAATAGTGAAATTCTTCGCAGGGATTAAATAATTTTTAAAAATTTTAATAAATTCTTTAAAACAATAAAATTCAATTATTTTTATAAATAGTAAAATTATTTGCAAGAATTCAATTATTTTCAATACAAGTTTTAAAAAACTTTACCAAAAGATTCAATTATTTTTTACAATTTTAATAACAAATTTTCGAAAAAATTTAATAATCTCCAAAAAATTAAAAAAATTCTTCGAAACAATTCAATTATTTTTATAAATAGTAAAAGTCTTCACAAGAATTAAATTATTTTTATATAAATAATAAAATTCTTTTCAGGAATTCAATTATTTTCAATTATTTCAATTATTTTTTAATAACATTTTTCGAAAAAATTCAATTATTTTTAAAAATTTTAATAATTATATTCTTTTGAAACAATTCAATTATTTTTATAAATAGTAAAATTATTTGCAAGAATTCAATTATATTTTCAATACAATTTTAATATCATTTTTCGAAAAAATTAAACAATTTTCTAAAATTTTAATAAATTTTTCAAAACCTCAATTACTTTTATAAATAGCGAAGTTCTTCGAAAAAATTAAATTATTCTTATAAATAGTAAAAAATTCTTTGCAAGAATTAAATTATTCATATAAATAATAATTTATTATTTATTTTCAATACAATTTTAATAAAATTCAATATCAGGACTTTAATTGTCATAATTAATAGACACAATTATTTTTAAGATTTTTTTAAAAAGTCACTGTTTAATTCAATTATTTTCAAAAAATTTTAATTTAAATTATTAAAAATACTACATTATTCTCAAAAATTAAAAAAAATATTCCTAAAGAATTTAAATATTTACAAAAACTAATAGAATTGTTTAAAAGAATATAATTTTCTACCCTGATATTTTTAATAAAATTTAATAGTAAAAATTGATTAAAATTATTAGCAAAATCGATTATATTAAAAAAAAATTGAAGAAATTTTTTGAAAGAATTCAATTTCTATATTTTAATGAAATTCTGAGAAGAATTTATTAGGTAATTATTTTCTGAAAATTTTAATTAGATTCAATAAATAATCAAAATGTTCAATTTTAATTTTTAACAAATGCGATTTATTTTAACAACTTGAAAGAAATTCTTCATAAAATTCAATAAATTAGTTTGAAAAGTTCCATTTAAAATTCTATAACAGAAACTCCATTATTTTAACAAAATTTAATGAATTTCTTGAAAAGAATTTAATTAAGATTTTTGATAAATTTAATAAAATTTCTAAAGTTCATTCACTTATTTTCAATAAAATTTTTATAAAATTTCTTCAAAGGAATCAATTATTTACAATAAATTCATAAAATTCTTCAATTATTTAAAAATTTTATGATAAAATTTAAGAAATCATTTATTTTCAAGAAATTAATTTTGAAATTGGAAACATTTAAAAAAAATGATCAAAAAATTTAGGAAACAGAAAAGCAAACAATTAATTTCAATTTGCGATCAGAATACCGAAATACAACGATTATTAATATAAAAAAAATATAAATATAGAAATAGATATATATAGAAGATATAGATATAAAATCAGTTTTAAAAAAAACTATTAATACAGTCATATTTTTAGTATTTATGAATTAAAAATATTCTTTCTCATTAGAATATGGAAAATTAATAAATTGCACGTGTATTATTGCTTTTATGCGGTATAATAAGAGACGAGGTGGGAGGGAGAGGGTGATTATCGATATATGCGTGAAATAATTTATTCCGTGTGAGGATATTAATAATATTGACTGTGGGAGAATTTTAAGAGGCTCGTTTAGCAGTTGATTATTGGATTCTGTATTTATTTAGCTTTACGAGTAATGCGCGCCGAGCTGTCTGCCCAATTCCCAGTTAATTCAACATTTACACCATTTCCGCTTGGAGACTCACTCGGCTAGAGATTTCTTAGTAAAACCCACGCCATCATTAATGGGATTCTGAGAGAGGTGGCAGAGGGGAGATTGTCTGAACTCGATTCTTCTGATGGATTTGTACTCATAAAATTTTCTTTCTCCATTATGATAATTATAAATATGCGATGTGATCAAAAGTTAAATTTACAAACTGAAAATATTAATTTACTATTTACAACCAAATAAGGTTTTAAAAATAATTTTCTATTAAATGAGTAATTTAATTGATAATTAGAATTTACGAAAGAAGAACTAATAATAAAAGAAATTAATAATTATAACTAATATCGTTGAAATACTAATTTTTCTTTTCTTTTCAGATTGGTCCGGCTAGAATTCTGATTGCGGAGAACTTACCAATAGAGAAGATTTTGTAAGAAAATTTTCTCGTAAAATCATTCACGTGACCGGATATCTGTTTGGAAATAATGGAAGAAATGTATATGGAGTCACGCATGGGCTTGCATCAATGTGTCGAGGAAAATTATGATTCCAAGTCTGAGAATTCATTACAGGTTTGAACAATCTTTGCTTTTTAGCAGTCTTACATTTCCTTTTTACCGAGAATAATATCATTCTAGGTATGTGCGAATTGAAATGTAGGACTGTTTGCATGTTTGGTTCTAAAACTAGTTCGCAAGTGGCCTATAGACAAAATTTAATTAAATTTCAATTCAAACAAAGAGGAAGTATAGATTCAAACAAAAGCAAACTCGAAATAATTGTTATTGCTCAAATAATATTTTCCGCAAAAAGATTTGAAAATTAATCAAATATCAATAGATTTTGAATTTCCGTAAGAAAATTGAATTATAAATATAGAAATGAATCTCAATTTTATATATATTTAGCTGTTGCGGTATACAGGGTTGCCACGCAACCTGGAAACCTGGAAAATCTGGAAATGTCAGGGAATTTTATAAACTTTGAAAAAACCTGGAAAAGTCAGGGAATTTTGATCGAAATCCTGAAAAATTCTTGTTTTCTAAAGTTATTGTGATTATTATTAAAATTTAATTAATTTTTGAATCTAAGAAAATTTTGAATTTTTTTTCAAAATCTTCCATTTTTTCCATTTCTGACAATAATTTATTTTAAATAATTTAATTATCTTTAACAACTGTCATAAAGTTATTATTCATAGATTATAATCAATTAAATATATTTAATTAATAATTTTACTTAAATATTTAAAAATTAATTCAATTTTAAAAGAGTTGCGTTTATAATTTCCATATAAATATGATGAACTTATCAAAAAGTTTTATTATGAAATTTTATAAAATTTCAATTTTCAATAAATTTAATTAGAAATTTAAAAGAATTTAAATTTTTGAAAAATGAAAAAAAACTCAACGCAAAATTACAATTTTTTTTAATATCTACAATTTTAATCGAATTCAATAAATTATTATGAATAAAAAATAAATTTAAATATGAATTTTAGTTAAAGAACACTAAAATAATTATACATTTTTTTTAGAAAAGTTACAAATGTTCAAAAATTCAATTATGTTCAAAAATTTTAAAAAATTCTGGTCAAAATTTCAATTATCTTTAAAAATAATAAAATTCTTCTCTAAAGGAGGTTCTATCGCCGATAATTGATTTAATGAACAGATTTTGATAAAACTTGATGAGCAGCTAGATAAAGTTAATATAAAGGCGTAGTTAAATTTTTGTGACCTCTAGGTACCTATGAAAAAAGTTATAAACATTTTTGGTTTTCAACGTTTAACATTGAGTCTTATGGGAATTGAGTAATTTGTCATATATATTTACATACTGCAAAGTATGAAATGAACAGATATTGTTCTAAATTTTTTAAATACTAAACCGATATGCAATAATTATATATATCTGTAAAAACAATTGTCAATAGGTACCAGTGAGATTTACAATACTTTTTACTGTTTTGACTAGCTGCGTCAAGCGATAGAACCTATCCTTAATAATTTTCAATATCAATTATTTTAATAAAATTTTCCAAAAGAATAATTAAATGTTTGCGTGGAATTCTGTTAAAATTTTTTTTAAATAATTATTTAAAAAAAATTTTACCAGAATTCCACGCAAACATTTAATTATTTTTATAAATATAATAAAAATTCCACTGAAATTCAATTCTTTACAAAGATATTTTTTAAATTTCTTCGCAATAATTTCATTATTTTCATAAATAATAAAACTCTTTGTATAGGAATTCAATTATTTTCATATTAATAGGTATGAATAAAACTCATCGCAGTATTTCAATTATTTTTAGAACAATTTTAAGAAACATTAAAATTATATTCAATAAATGATTTATTTTTACATTTAAATAATTAAATTCTCGTTAAATTTTCTAATAAAATTTGATTGAAAAATGTCTTTAGTTAAAATTTTAAATAAATAATTGATCTAAATTTCTCAGAAAATGCAATTCTTTTATTAGAATTTTATTAAAATTCTTCTAAAGAATTCAATTATTTTCGAAAATCTTAATAAAATTCTATAGTCAAGAATTCAATTGTCTTCATAAAATAATGAAATTCTTTTTAGAAATTTAATTATTTTCACAAATAATAAAATTCATTTTAGGAAATAAATTATTTTCATAAATGAAACTCATCGCAGAATTTAAATTACTTATTGTTAATACAATTTTAATCCAATTTCTTTGACAAATGTAATTATTGTTAAAAATTTTATTTTATTTCGTTAAAAGAATTTAATTATTTAAAAATTTGTTGATCAAATTCTTTATGAAAATTCAATTTTAAGAAACATTCAATTATTCAAAAAAATTATTTATTTTTGTATATAAATAGTTGAATTTTAGTAGAATATTCAAATTAAATTTTTTGAAAATCTGAAGTTTTCATACTTTTAACTATAACAATTGTGTAGAATTAATTTTTTTTGAAAAAGTTCGGAGTAAACCATGTCTTCATGTTTTATAATAATGTGAAATTTTTGAAAATTTTAATTCATATGAAAAAATAATAATAATTGATGTTTTTGATTAATTTTACAATATTACGGAAATTCTTAAATAAATGTAGGTAATAGATTTAATTTGGTAAATAATAAGTGTAGTTTTAAAAACCGTGGAAAAATTTCGTTTTTTAATCTGGAAAACTTGGAAAAGTCAGGGAATTTGAAATGAGCAAAAGCGTGGCAACCCTGTCGGTAAATTTCCATTCTGAAGAAAAGTTGCACAAGGGACGATAAACAATTTGTTAGAACTGAAGACTGATGTCTTCATTCTAATATCGAAAGAAAGAAAAAAATGTCTTCTCGACATTTTGTCGAGAAATGTCTTCTCGAAATCAATTCTTCTCGACTGGGTGGAATTGATAATCATTCGCGCAGTATTATAAAGTAGAGCACAAACACAAGTGGAAAGGTTGCGCAACCTTTCAATCTTCAATCAGTTTCACGTAACGCCTATAATGTGGAGTTGTATATCATCAACAAATATGGATAGAACTCGAGCTGTATAGCTGTATTTAGTATTGAAGATGGTGAAGGGAAGAGACAGCAACATCCCGGAGGATGGGTGGAGGATTTTAGGGGAAGAAGAAGAGGAGTAGGGAAAGAGAAAGGAAGGAATGGCAGGGAAGAACAATATCGTGCCGGTTGCTGCTCCGCCCCAACTTCAGGGTCGTCTTAATTACCGGGTGGTCCAGTTCGGAACCCCATAAATATTCCGAGGCGGCACTCTTTCTGTCGAGAGTCAGCCTCAAAAAATACACACGAGCTTTTGCCATGGCCCCCATGACTCCTTGTGTTCTAATCCTCAAAACCTCTCTCTTGGTATTCTCGAGAGGAGAAATCCAGGTTCGAGCCGATAAGCCTATCGCATTTCTGAAATTCATTTTCGACGCGTTTCGACGAATGAGTGCAGCGTGTTGCTAAAGGTTCTGACGAATTCTCCGGGAAAAAAAAGAAAGAAAAACTTGGGTGTCTCATGACAAAAAAACTACGATTCTTATCTGCTTAGAATTTCCTGACCACCGAAGCGAAGCGATTGGGACGAAATGCATGGGAACTGATGTCAATTGGGATCAATGCTATTTTGGAGAGGATGAATGAATTGGAAGCTGCTTCTGAGTGCTGAAGGACATTGACTAATCGATTCTAAATTATTTCAGAGAGGATGAAAGTTACTGGGAAGTGTCATACACGGATGATAAACTTTCGACCATTTAGTTTTCTTGTTAAAGAAGATTAGTTTCGAATTGTTCCTCGAATATCAACAAATTCATTGTTGGAAAGATTTCAAAGATTTGTTTGTTGAATCTATTTATTTAACTTGACATATTATATTCTTCGAAAGAAAAAGAGAGAAAGAAAGAAATTGATGAATCAATAATCTACTCTTTTATTCCAATTTCCAAAATTTGACAAACAGATTATCAAACTTGGGCTATTCGATCAGAAAAGAAAAGAACTCTCTTCTTTACTAGTATAATGACACAAATTCTCCCATTGAAAAATTAACTCGAACGTAAAAATTTGATTGAAATTGTTGTTGAGACAATATTCGAATTGTCATTGAGAATGAAATTGTGTTTTCGAAAATACGATAGCAATGATTGATTTAGAGACGATGGTGTGTTGCATGCTTAAATATTTGTTTGCTGATAAATCTAAATACATAACGCATGTTTCAGAGAGTGTGCAATCTTGAGAATATCACACACGGAGATTCATCGGAGATTGAAATTTTGTAGAGAGCTCTGGCCCCATGGGGCGTGTAGAAAAGCAAATGTTGGTGGGGGGGACTTGGCAGGGAAGAAACCGAAGATAGGTCGACTGAAGAGGAGGCAGGCTGGATGGAACATCAAGGACAGCAAGGAGCATCCATAGAAGTTAGAAGAGCTCGTAAAAGACCAAACCTCATGTTTGAACCAATGTTGTTGGGTGGTGGGGAAAAAGCAAAAGCTCTCAAACGCCGTGAAAGGGACTGAACATGCTTTTCAGAACGGGGCCCGTTTGCTTTCGATTCAGCCCTGTCCAAACATCTTGGGAACTCAGCTCCTTCTTTCACGACGGCGACGACGGCAGCGGCGGCCTCGGCTGGGCTCTCGACCAGTCAGTAGTCACCCTATGCTTCGGTGAACTGGACACAGAAACGGTTGCTCGGTTCTGTGTTGCCAACTCGGTAGTAATTCTACCTCCGTTAGTCGCAGTTACGGTCAAGCTGTTCTCTTGGACGCAACGCTCCCTGGATCATTTGAGTGTCCGTTACGCAGTGCTACGTCGCTACGATCAGCTCGTAACAGAATCTGGACTTGGAGAAAAAGTGTTTTTGTTTTTTTCAAAACAATTTTTCATTTCTTGAAAGAAATCTTGAAGAAATCTTGAAAAAATTGAAATCAAGTTCAGTGTGAACTGAAGAGATTAAATCTGGTGGACAAATTGGATTGAATTTTAAATTGTTGGATTGCTTTGCAGTGTTGATTGAAGATTTTGATTTTGATATAACATTGTGAATGGTGAGTGGTGGTGCCAAGTGAGATTGCCGAGAGTGAGATTACATAGTGCATAGACTCGTTGAGATGCCGTGGCTGCTCACACTACGGACTTACGGCTAGCTAGGTGAGATCCTTTTTACGTGACATGTTATATCTATATTTTGTATAGTTATATATACTCTATATAGCCTCAGGTGAGATTCTTGATGCACGAAACGAGATTCCAAGATTGCCCCTTCTCGTCAGTTTCTTCTTTTTTTTCTTTCTTCTGGTTCGATTATTATTTTTGATGATGACGTGCCTTAGTTGTCTTGCACATCCTCTCGTCGAAAAACCTTGCCCTTATGTCCCGCATTCCTTAAGGAGAGCGCGGAAGCAAACAGTTTACAAACAGACTGTATCGTCATTCCACGGCGAAAGGAATCTAAAAGCGACGGCACGATCAAAAAGTAAATAGATCACTTTATTTTCGTCTTTAACAAATTCTTATCTTTGCACGTGGAGATGATTTTGCAGTTAACTTTTTAGCTAATAAGTCTTGAAAGATAGTTAATAAGAATTCTCTAGGAATAAATGAATATTACAGAAGGATTATTTTAGAATTTACCTGACGATTGAGTTACAGATGGTGTATTTGCAGATGAATATTTTCAATAAATCATTTTAGCTGAGTCAATTGAAAGGATGATTCATGGAGAAAATGCAAAGGACTGAAAAATAAGTTGCATTTAAAGACATTTTCTTCTAATGAGAAAATTCAGTTATGGTTTTAGGAAGAGGAACATAAATTAATGTCAAGAATATAAGCGTTTGTTGAAATCTGAAAGAAAGTAATTACTATTTTGGTTAATACCCATTCAGAGGTATATTGCTTTTTGAGAAATAAACTGTCACTTCTTGCTTTTGCGTTTGCGCTTTTGCTCAGGCAATAACTCACGGTATGTTTATTACTCTATTGTTGGTGCTTCTCTTAAAATCGACTGGTATTTCAGGATTATGGACCGAAAATTTTATTGTTCCTATAAAACGGAACTTAATCCATTCACAAATTAGGGATTAAGAATGAGAGAGTTTCTTGAGCAGTAAAAGTGGAAATCCGGAAATATTGCTGTAAAAGATATACTAAAATGAAAATATAGATTTATCAACAATAACGGTAATTGCAAAATGATAATTGTACTTCGTAAACAGAGTTGTTTTGTAGTTGTGTGTTCTATAATTAGACTAGAGAGAGGAATAAGTAAACAAGAGCACTTAATTCATTGTATATGAACCAAAGTAGAGGAGACAAGGTTTTAAATCAGGATTCGTCATCCTAGTCTAACTCGTCGAAGCACGTATCACTAATTTAGTTTATGAGGATTTGTGATAAAGAAACAAGAACAGCAGGACGTTTTTTTGCGAGTCGTGACTCAGCAGTTAATTAATAAAGAAATGAATTGCTCTCGAGTGGATTATTTTTCTGCTTATCAAACGAATATTTGAATGTTTTAGAATAGAGGAAACGAGAAGGTACGAGTGTGGAATAAACGATTGAAATGAAAGTGATTGGAACTTGACCTTCATTAAATAACTAGATTGTATAGTGTTTTGCAATAGCTACGCGTATACTGTAGAATAACTACATATTTATATATTGTGAACATTATAATAATGTTCACGGTATATTGTAATATTCGGAACATATTGAAAACACAGCACAAGATAATATAATTAAATATTAGGAGAGTAAAGAATTAATTGACTTATCCCTTTTGTAGAGATGAAATTCGAGAGCGGTGCGTGACAAATTTTGCGCGCAGGTAGAAGGAGAATGAAAATGAAGAAGCAAGGAGGAGTTTATTTGAGGTCAGAAAAAAAGTGCCTTGTAAGATAGTTTGTGAGTCGAGGTTCTCTTCAATTATGAACCAGAAAAGGAAGCCACCGGCCCTGAATTAGTCCCTGTAGAGTCGATAAGCAGAACTGGAAAGGTAAAATCACCGACATTAAAAAAGAGGAGTCGATAAGATCAGAAACGCGCATCTTCTTGGTCGACGATTGACGGGATCCTTGGCATTGTTGGAGTCGAGGTCCCTTCCGGCGATCCAGAGTCGCGTATATGCCACACGCCACGGGCGGTAGCTTGAGATCTGGCAAGCAAGATTATAAGAGTCTGCAGCAGACAGCCTGGCTCTAGCGTCTCCGCAACGGCAGCCTTTCCGTCTCCAACTCTATCTTCCCTCCTTATACAGAGTACATATACCTCAACCGGCACAGGTCAAACACAAGCCACTATACCTTTCTTCTCAAATATATTCTTCAGGGAACGTTTCTTTTTCTCATATTAATTATTTCAAATTCATTCAACAAATTCTCATTTTGGCTGCGATTTTTTCCAAAAACTCAGATTCAGAAATTTTTAAATGGAATATTCGAAAACTGATTCGAAATTTATTCGGTTTTGAATAAAACATGCGGGATTGTAAGCAATCACGATCATTGATTGGGGCTAGTGATTTGTAACTTAGGCTTTAATGAGATAATAGCCTGAGAGCACTTTATCACTTCTCGTCGTTTAGACGTCTTTTCTTTTTATTTTCTATACTTTCTTCTGAATACTTTGGAATTTTTCCGTTTACTTTGGTTAATTTTCGTTCATTGTAAAGTTTCAAAATTGTTTTCAATTTTCAAAAATTGTAAGTTAGGAAAATATGGAAGATTGTCTGCGAAAAAAAACGATGGAGGTTATTTATGTTAAACATAGTTAAAGTGCAGGATTGAATGTAACGACACATCACGTGTGCACAACGTGGTTCACCTTTCCGTGAAAAATCAAAAAGCAATGCTTGTATATATATTCACGACGAGAGAAAGCTGTTTGCATGAGTCGCAGGTGTTTTGGCCCTGATGGTTAATAAACACACACCTCATCTCGCAGCTGGACGATGCAGGCTTACTTATTCGAGTCTTGATATAATGGATTTTCAAGTAATACGCGTTACGCACCGTATGACTTTTTTCTCTCGCTCTTATTGGCGAAAACGAAAACAAGTATTAATCTATTCTCGAAGGCATAATATTTAGTGCTTTCTTCCTTCAAAGAAATTTTTCTTCAAATTTCTTCAAAATATTCTTCTTATTTTTTTTTCTCATCAAAAATTTGTTCGCTTCTCTCTAGATATTATATATTGAATTCTTACAAGGGCCTTAATATATGTTTGTCTTTGAATAATGTGTCATTCCTGTTATCTGCGGCTGATCTCAGTAAAATATCGGACGCAGAGTTTCTTCTCGAGACAGCTTAGAAAAAAAAGAATTCACCAGGACAAGCTTCTTGTAATAAATCGCGAAGCTCCCGATAAGATTCTCCTCGAGGGGTTTATTTTAGTCTGAGAATTAAGACTGTTTTTTAAACATGCGTTCATAGGGTGATGTATAGGATTTTCGAATTCTTTTCCTTTTTTTACTTTATCGATAAAAAACGATATTTTCGTAAATTGAAAGTCCAATTTACCCAATGTAACTAATTTAAGATTTTAGTTTATTAAATCTGCTACTCTTATTCCTTTTGGAATTTCTCAGAATTTTTAGATACAAATATTACTTCATCAAACTTTAGCTTTTTCTCTGAAGTACTTATTTACTTCTATCAATAAACTATTCGGATTATTAACTTGGTCAAAATCGGAAAAGTTAAAAAAAAACCCAAAATTGAGATTTCTTCTCGGAAATGTCTATAGATTCAAAATTATTGTAACAAAATTGACAAAATCTGAGAGATAAAGAAAATGTTTTCTAAACATTGGGAAAATAAAAAAAATGCTGGGTTTTGTTTAAAAAACAGTAAAGTTAAAGAATAGCGTCTTTTCTTTTAGAAAGTATATAAGAAACCGGTTAAAAACAATTTTAAAAATTCTAATGATTCCTCTTTTATATCTGTTTTAGGAGTGGCAGTGCCAGTGACTGACGTCACGATGCGCATGTTGCTGCTGCTGAGATTGGTGTTAGCGGCAGCGGGTGCGCTGCTGGCGAGCGCGAATTCGCTGATTGACACAGAAGACGAGATGCCATACCAGATCAGTTCGAAAGAACGTAAACAGGCAATTGCCAGAGTAGAGAATGAAATTCTTAATCTATTGGGAATGGCCAAACGGCCCAAGTCCGTTGAACCAGCTCACGTTCCTGACTCCCTCAAAAAACTCTATAAACGTCAAAACTTCCTTGGAACGGCTAATATTGCCAAGCGAGGAATACATGCCAATTCAGCAAACACAGTTCGTGCCTTCAATCATATCGGTTAGTTTCCATAGAAATAATTTAAATTTATTCACGCATAGTGTCTAATTTTATTCTTTTTAAAGAGAAAAAAAGGCATACAAATTTCTCTAATTCAAGTCTTTTCGAATATTTAAAAAAAAGGGGAAATTCAAAAAAATTTTGGGACCAAGGCTTCAAAAAACATGACACTGAAACCAGTATTATTTTAATTTTTCAAAAATGCTTATAATTTCGACTTTTTATGTGAGAATTTTTTATGAGAATTCTATTTCCTGATTTGTATTTCATCAGGAATTTTTCTTTTTAAATCAAACAAAAAATTTCGATCTCATGAATATATTTTGAACTTGAAGAACGTAATTAATTATTAAAGCTGAAAATTTCTCGTCATCTGATTGTAATACAATTATTATTATTTTTATATTATTTTATTTATTATTATTATTATTATTATCATTATTATCATTGTTATTATTCATTTTTTTATTATTATTGTTGTATTTTATTATTATTTTTATAGTACTTTAGAAAATTGACTTTTTCAATTTCAAAATCTAAAAATTAATTCAAGAATATTTTGAAAAGATGAGTATAGAAATTAATTCATTCGAAATTCATTAAAAATACGTATAGATGACGAAAAGTCAGAAATAGATATATAGTAAAATAATGAGAAATTTAAGACCAGTTAGAAGTCTTTGAAAACGAAATTGAGTTAACGATTATTAGTTAAGAGTAACAGGTTTTGAAACATTGTCAGGCTTTTAGTTTCGCTTTACCCACGATTAGTTTCGCTATTTTATTTTTATTTTCTATGCCTCTCATTGTCAGGTGGGACGAATTTTATCCTCGTGTTAACGAGGAGTTCAAAATTCTTAAATCAATTATAAGCCGAGAACGATAATTTACAGAGAATTATTTATATATGCTTTTTTACTCATTTGAAAACTTAATAAGGAAAATTAAAACGAAAACATTCGGACAAATATACCTAATTCTTTAATTGTGTTTCGGCACAGATTTCCTCTTTAGCGATGAGACTAATTTGACATATATAGAATTAAAAACATAAAATTGAAAATTATGAAATAGAAAATATAGAATTATAAATATTACACAATAATTATTGCTTCATTTTTTATATTATTGTTTCAATTTATTTTATTTTTCTTTACTTTGGCAATTGCTTCTTTTTATTATTGCGGACAATAATTTAATTTCTTTATTTCTGTTATTATTGTTAAAATATTTCAAAACAATTCAATTATTTTCTAAAATTTTTAAAATCCTTCGAAATAATTCAATTATATTCAAAACAATTCCATGAAAGAATTCAATTTTTTTCTTTATTCGTTATAAAAAATTTCAAAAGAATTCAATTATTTTCTAAAATTTTAATAAATTCTTCGAAAAAATTCAATTATATATGAGCGGATGGGAAGAAGAACTCGATGTGACGCTCCGCTGCACGCTGTATTCTCAGTCAAGAGTTTCAAATGCCGATAAAATTAAAGTTTGAAATTTAAAATTTTAAAAAGTGCTACATTATAGAAAATAAAGAGGCGCATCTTTTTTTCCTTTGAATTTTTTTTATAGGACAATTAGTTTAAATAGTAAGTGCAAAAAACTAAAAAAATTTTATTTTTATTTTTCATTCAATTTTAAAACATAAATCATCGTAGTTAAGACAAATATTGATAAAATTAATCGGTATTTGATATACAAACTCGTTAGAGTCTATAGAAGACGATAACATATCAAAAAACTTAAAAATTATTAATTGTTTAATAATATTTAATTATTATTAATGTACTACCAGCAATCACATTTTCTCACCTTCGCCGACAAAAAGTCAGTGGGGAAGTTTCGAATTAAAAGAACTTCCAGTGAGACATTTGTTCTTCAATGTATAAAGATGTTTTCTGAAAAATTTCAAATTGATTTATTGAAAAGTTTAGAAAATATCGAAGTTTAAACAAATTGCGCGTGGCGCGCTAGCGAGTCGCTGTGTATAGAGAATTATATTCTGTGTATAAATGATCTGCTTCTCATAACTTTTACATATACATTTATTTACTATCGCAAATAAATTGTTTTCAATTATATTAAACTTTTATAATAATAAATAATAAAATTATTTAAACATTTTTTAAATGTAATATATAATATTGAAACCTTATATTAAATTATTATAATTAAACACATTTTAATATGTGAAATTAAAAATAAATAAAATATTTTTTAAATACTAATAAATGTTAATAAATAACTCAAACTAATGTTAAGGCATTTTAATAACATATTTAATGAAATACTAGATATATATTAATTAAATTTTTCCACTTTTCTTTTGACGCATCATAATATTTCCTTTTTCGTTCTAATGACATATTTTAACAATAACGTTAAAGGTAATATTTCACATTCTTAAAGCGTAAAAATTTTTAACAATAATTAAAAATATTTAATATAATAATAATATTATAATATAAATAATATTTTATTCTATTCATTTAGTAAAAATTTATTAATTTAAACATTAAATCAATTTTAATTTCTCAATATAAATAAATTGAAAACAATTTATTTGCGATAGTAAATAAATGTATATGTAAAAGTTATGAGAAGCAGATCATTTATACACAGAATATAATTCTCTATACACGGCGACTCGCTAGCGCGCCACGCGCAATTTGTTTAAACTTCGATATTTTCTAAACTTTTCAATAAATCAATTTGAAATTTTTCAGAAAACATCTTTATACATTGAAGAACAAATGTCTCACTGGAAGTTCTTTTAATTCGAAACTTCCCCACTGACTTTTTGTCGGCGAAGGTAAGAAAATGTGATTGCTGGTAGATCATTAATAATAATTAAATATTATTAAACAATTAATAATTTTTAAGTTTTTTGATATGTTATCGTCTTCTATAGACTCTAACGAGTTTGTATATCAAATACCGATTAATTTTATCAATATTTGTCTTAACTACGATGATTTATGTTTTAAAATTGAATGAAAAATAAAAATAAATTTTTTTTAGTTTTTTGCACTTACTATTTAAACTAATTGTCCTATAAAAAAAATTCAAAGGAAAAAAAGATGCGCCTCTTTATTTTCTATAATGTAGCACTTTTTAAAATTTTAAATTTCAAACTTTAATTTTATCGGCATTTGGAACTCTTGACTGACAATACAGCGTGCACCGGAGCGTCACATCGAGTTCTTCTTCCCATCCGCTCATATTAAGTATTTGTAAATAGTAAAATTCTTTGCAAAAATTCAATTTTATTTTCAAAAAAATGTCACAAAACAAAACAAAACTCCATTACTTAAAAAACAATTCAAAGAATTATTCTTCAAAAAGAACAATTCAATGATTTTCAAACCATTAATTTTAAAATTGAAAATATTTAAAAAGAAAAATTATTAAAAAAGTAACGAAACAAAAAAGCAAACAAGAACTAAACTTCAAACTGAGAACAGATTATCAAATATATGTATCCAAAAATTAAGCAGTTTTAATAAAAAGGAAAATAAAAACCTTCGTTTTTATTATAACTGTGCTCGAACGCGTTAAAGAATTATGATTACTAAAATCTTATTAAATGCGTGAAATATTAAAATTGAGTATTTTTATTTTTTGAAATTGACGAAAAGTTATCCGAGAACGAATGTCGAAATGATTTAAGAGAATTTTTATTTACGTGAATTTTCTCATTTCATATAAGGAATTTTTATTTCACACAGAACCTTTTTTATATTGTTTGATCAAAGCACGTGCTTGATATCACGTATATATTAACTCGTATAGTTTTTTTCTTATTAGAAAATGATTCTCGTTGGGTTAAAAGAAAATTTATGCCTATAGCAAATTATTGTATCGAAATCTAAGTTTCGCAAAGAAATTTCTTAGATTTCTCTAAGAAACTTAGAGAATCTAATAAAAAATTAAATTATTAATTGACTGAAAAATTGCAATATAATTTGAAATTGAATGATTGTCGGTTTATTAATAATTAATAAATATTAATAAATGGTATTAATAAATTGTAAACGAGAAAAATTAGCGTTGAAATATATTACAATGAGTGGCTCGCGCCTATATTTAATGTTGATATTTTAACTTTGGTAGTCTGTATATAGTAGCTGCGAGGAGATTAAATCCAGCAGCTCTGCACGGCTGTTATAGAACTCTCCGGCTGGACAATGGTCCTTTCGAATGAATTATGGGCGTATCCGTGACTCTCTTGGGCTTAACACGATACAATGACACTAGAATAGGCAACGATAAATTGGTTTAAAGAAAGGTAGAGTGCCGTGAATATCAGTTACAAAGGTAAAGCCTCTATTTGACCAAATGGACCATCAAAAAAAGAATGAACAATGTTTTACCTCCCATTGGCCGCTATTTTTACGTTTTATTTGTCAGACAAAATTACTTTTCGAATCAATTGCCATTGTGTAAAGAGGATTTACCGGGCCACTTACTACTGTGAATATCTATATACACTGCGTCTTTTTTTTCCCATACAAATCGCATTTAAGTATCTTTGAGGTTTTTCTCCTTTATTCAATTTCGGACTAATTCTAAATACGTAAGACGGAAATAAAATGTGGTTTGTTCGATTTAGACCTAATTTTCTCAACGTTTTTTAATATTTCAAAGAGAGTGTTATTTATTCCAGTTAAATAAAATAATAATAATTAATTAATTTCTCCTCTTTTTAAAAAACTTTTTCTTGAATTAATTTTGAAATTGAAATTTTTAACATACTCTAAAAAAAAGAATAATAATAATTTTAGTAAAGCAATAAAAGTATAATTTTGTTAACTTTCAAGTGGAATTTGATTAATCTGTAGAATTATTTAAATGATGTTCAAATTTGTTTTCATCACCTTCTGTGCCAGAATGTATGTCCTTAAGGTGAATTAATGCTCGCACTGCATATGTATTTTTCATTATGGATTCGTATTTTATAATTTATTTACATAAAGATCGTGAAGAGAAGGTTCGTTCAGCTTTGTGTAGCAGTTCACAACCTTCAAGGTTGACAGCCAATTTTTATAGTGAGGTTGTGCATCAGTGCATGACATTATACAGTTTAATGTCACCACACGATGACAATTTTTGATCTCATTTAATAAATTACTTACTATTCGTTATTTTCTTTACAACATTATTAATATTAATGTAATACTCATTATTAATTCATTTCTACAATTTTTAAATTTAATTTTTAATTTTACTAAAACTTTTATTTAAATAACTATACTGGAGATTGTGAACCTGAAATTTCAGGTTTGAGAATATAATTATTAAAATTAGAACCATAATTTTAATAATATTAAAGCAAATTATCAATTCAGGGTTAACAATCGCGCCACGCATATAATATCGTATTTTTCACTTATGGAGTAATATACATTTTTTCGTGTATCGTTTTATAGAGAGATTTACATATTATAGAAGAGAGGAATTAGAGGGGGAAAATAGGGATAAACGGGATGATAATTATTATATAATATAAAGCAACCCTCTGGAATCCATTTTACTTGCGGTTTTATCTTTATAAACGAGAATACATGCGCGCACGTTTTATAAAAGCTAAAATGGAAAGTTTCCGATTTTAAGAGGTACATAATTCGAAGCTAAATTGTACAGTAACCAAGGTCCATTATCTCACGCGGATTATACAAATTATCCTTGAAAAACTTCATCCCGAGGACCACCCACAGACTCAACAAAGTCATTGCGCCTTCAATTAAACATTTTTTAAAAATTTTTTCCAAATTATGATATTCTACTTGCCGTTTTTACAAAATTTATATGAATACAATTCACATTTTTTGGAGAATTGGTCACAAGGAATTTTTTTCAATTTCACAAATTTTTTGTTAAATATATTATTTTGAAAAAACTTATTTGTCAGAGGAAAGAAAATTTTAAAGAGAATGAAAATAGAAGTATATATATATTATATATAAATATGATAAGAGTGATTTTTTTCATGTAATATCTGTGTAATTAATTCTTTTGCTATTATATAGGGAAATCGTAGGAAATTCAGAGAAATGTCAGGGAAATCAGGAAAAAGTTTGAATTTTATCAAAAGTATTGGAAAAGTAAAAAAAAAACTCGTAGAGAATTACTGCAAAAATTATGTTTTTAGTGACGAAAAATATTTTTGAATAAGAACATAAAAACTTTAACTTCTCCTTGAATTTTTTTCCACTTTAAAAAGTTTATTGAATCGCAAATGAATTTTAAAATAATGCCTTTAATTTGTCTTATTTCTGCGTAAATAATTAATTAATTCTGCGTAAATACTTTCTTAAAGTTAATTAATTTTATTTAAATTAAATAAGATTTTATTTGAAAAAATTTGAATTTTAAAAAATAATCAAGTTTCCGAAGGTTTTTAATTAAAATTTTTAATGTGAAATTGTTAATTGATTTTTAAAGAATTTTTAATTCAATTATGTTTTAAAATTAAATTTCAAAAAACCAACTTATTAAGAAAGTTAAAAAAATGATCAAATTAATCAAAATTCTATTAAAAATAGTAAATATTAATTATTATTAATTAATTAATTAATAAATTTCAAAAATCATTTAAGTTTTAGATAATTTTAATTAAAATTCTGAAAAAATTGTCTTTATTCTACAAGATATTAATTTAATTGTCTGAAAATAATAAAAGTTCATACGATAACAATTTATTAAAAAAGTTAAAAAATTATCAAATTAATTGCGTGAAATTTTATTAAAAATAATTTATATTGTTAAAGAATTTCGATCTGGATGATTTAAAAAAATCGAAATTTAAAAGAAATTTAATTTATTAATTGATAAATAATTATTGAACTGAATTTAACAGCGGTGCAGCATTAAAAGTTCTAAATTGTATTTAAATTACTTTAAGTACGAAACTCAGTTATAATTACTATTTTTATTAATTAGTCAATTTTAAAAAGATTAGAATTAAAAATTTTGTTAAAAAATTGAATCTTTGATAAGTTTTTTTATAATTCTGAAGAATTACAGTTTTTTAACAAAATAATTCAATTCTATTTTCTAAGATAATTGAATTTTCATGAACAAATAATTCCAATTTTTTAAAGTAATAATTGAAATTCTCTAAAATTCTGTTAAAAATAATTGATTTTCTTAGGGATTTTATTTAAGTTTTGAATTTAATTATTTAATTTAGTAAATTAATTATTAATGTAATTGAATTTATCTAATAAGTCAAGAGATGTTTGACCTATAGGGCAAATTTTTTTAATCCTAAAGATTTTCAAAACTTTCTATCTGAATTTATATGAAATATATGAATGATTTATATGATTTATATGAATTATATGAAAAAAACGGGTACCGAAAAAGTCATAAAACAGACCCTTTTGCAACAAGAAACCATTATACATAGTTGGCCATATCCTTAGACAAACCACATGTTGAACATATTTTCTAAAAAGAGAAAATTCTTTTCTCAAACATCTTATATTTTTTATTTAGGGTGAAAATATTTTACAAAACATAGAATACATCATATTTGAAACTCATTCAATTTTACAAAAAAATAAGTGAATAGTTTTTGTTAATAAGAATGCACAAAGTTTTCTTATTTAAACTTTTCATCTTTGTTAATCCACAAGTTTTATTTTTAATTTTTAAAAAATCATTGAATATATTTTATTGTAAATTAAAATTATTATAAATTGTTATTATAAAGATAATAAATATTTTTCCTTTATTAATTATTATATTAAAAAAAAAATCAACAATCTTTGCTGTCTTTCTTTTAGCAATCAGCAGAAAATATTTTAATTATATTAAATAATATGACTAATCATTTACTAAAATTAATAATGATTACTTTTCAGTAAAAAATAACTAAAAATAGTCAAATTTGACAAATAGAATTATATAATATAAAGGAAAATTATTTTAGTTAGTTAGTTCGTTAATTATTTAGTTAGTAGTACCCGAAATGTTAATAAAAAATATATTCTCAAAGTTTGTTGCATATACTTTTTCCAAAAAATTTGGTGATAATTCTCTAAATTTCTATTGAATATGTTTTTCCCCAAAAAGTTATTGAATATTCCCAAATTTTATGAAAAAATTCCTTAAAAGCTGGGAAATATTCATAAACTTTTTGGGGACAATTATATTCACTAGAATTTTGTAGAATTTTCACCAAATTTTAAGAGATATTCACAAATTTGTTGGGGAAAAGTAGTTTCCCCAAAAAATGTGTAATATTCAACAAGAAAAGTTTGTGAATATTCCCCAAATTTTTTACAGTGATATAGTGATTAGTTTTACTTTTTTAGTATTTTAATTTTTCTTAGATTGCAATGGGAAAAAAGTCAAAATTTTATATTTGAATAATTTTAAAAATATGAAATCATATTTTTGTGGCAACGTTGTAAAAGTATTCTCAAATTTTAAATATAAACAACTAAAATGATCTAGATCAATAAAATTTACAGGAATCTTAACAAAAATTCTGTAAGAAAATAGCTGATTTTCCATGCTAATAAGTGCGGTAAGAACCCTTAAATTAGAAATTTTAAGTAAATATCCGAAAAAACGATTTGGATTTGAAATTTAATGATTCGTTTAAACGTCAATTTGCTTTTAATACCTTAAGATTATACAAATCCTTTTTGAAATATTTAACGCACATAAAAAGAAAATCATTAAAAATGCGATTATCTGGAAACTTATCCTTTCCATTTTATTAAAACTTCTTAAAACGTTGAAAAAAGAATCTTTATTGGAAGTGCTTGACTTTGATTTCTCACGTTATAAAACTTTTATTCTGATATATAGACCCTTTTAAGACAAGCAAAGATTATAAAGCTATTTTACAGAGGCTTTAAAATCGACTTTATGTTCTCGTATAGTGTAAATATTCGACATTTCGATTTGAAAGAAATAACTGTATTATACCTATAGAGACTACTAGAGAGAGACGGGGTTAATAAAATGCCTGCACGGATATATACTTAATTATATTAATATTGATAAATTTGAATTCTCACTGAATTATCTCGTTATTTATAATTTATTAGTGAAAACTTTTTTTTTGGGGAGTAAAATTATATCAGAAAATATAATGTATTTTTAATTTGTATATATAAAGAATGGTGAATTTTGAATGATCTTTTTTCTTCTTTTTCTTTCATCGATTGCTATCTATTAACATCTAATTTAAGATCCTTTTTGGTTTCTATTAGATATGTTAGAGAGATATGTTTCCGAAAGTTTCAATTGCGGTCGCGTGAAAAAAGAAGAGGTTTGGCGGTACCCCAGGCGGTCGTCTTTTTTGCCCGCCCCTAAAGCCGACTCGAATATACATATATACCTTTTATTTCTTATGTAAATAGTAGGCAACAGGCTATAATAATTCATCAAAATTGAAATAAATGAGAAATATTTATTTTTATCTGACAATTCGCCACAGAGATTTGGATACATTTTTTCAGAATTTAGAGCAGAATTTCACTTTTACAAATAGAAATTAATTAATAACAAAATTGTTAATATTGTGTTTCTTTTTATTTCAGAAAGCAATCTGGACAAGACTTTCAAGAATCCGTACAGGTTTCGGCTCAACTTTGATGTGAGGAGTATTCCGGATGGTGAAAAGCTGGAAGCTTCGCAATTGACGTTGTCGAGGGTATCGCTTCCAGAAGACGGGCGAACCGAGCGACGAGCAGTGCGCATTCTGGTGCACGATATCGTTCGACCTGGAGTCAAAGGCGTTCATCAGCCCATCTTCAGGCTAATTGACAGCCAAGTGGTGGACGCGAGAAGGAACACGTCAGTGAGTTTGGACGTGCATCCGGCTGTTGAAAGGTGGTTGAGAAAGGGAGGAGCGAGCGAGAACCATGGGTTGCTGGTCGAAGTGGTGGGTGACGAGACAATGAAGAAGGTCGAGCACGTGAGACTGCGACGCAGCGTTGATGAGTCTCATGATTCCTGGGTCGTTAATCGGCCAACGCTCTTCATCTACACTGACGATGGCAAGAACAAAATGGCCACCGCCAACCAGATAATAGAGCGACGGGAGAGGCGTGCGGCGACTCGGAAGCATCGCAGAAAAGACGGCAGGGAAAATTGCCGACGACATCCGCTCTACGTTGACTTTGTCGACGTCGGCTGGAACGACTGGATCGTGGCTCCTCCGGGGTACGATGCGTTCTATTGCCACGGCGAGTGTCCATTCCCCCTCGCCGATCATCTCAATTCGACGAATCACGCCATTGTCCAAAATTTGGTCCACTCGACGAATCCGAGTCAAGTGCCCAAGGCCTGTTGCGTGCCCACGGCTCTCAGCTCCATTTCCATGCTCTACTTGGACGAGGAGAACAAGGTGGTGTTGAAGAACTACCAGGACATGGCGGTGCTGGGCTGCGGTTGTCGCTGAAGAATTAAAAGCTGAGAAGAGCAGAAGAGGAATGCCGAGGTGAGCCGAGTAAACCCGAGAAGATGTGACTCGAGAGCCTCGCAGGTATAGGCGAGTAGAGTCAGAGGGAGAGAGAGAGAGAGAGAAAGAGAGAGAGAGAGTACACTGCGACCTGTCTCCACTTGCCTCCATACTCCAAGTTACTTGCTCGTTAGAAGGAGCGAATGGCAAACGCGCGAATGCGTGACGCTGCCGCATTCTCTACAGTTTCAGTAATCAACAAACTTGGCGGCCTATGAACTAAGAGACCGATAGGCAAAGCCAAACCTCCTTGGACGCGCGTAATTTATTAATAAGGCTGTAGCGAAAACCGGTATAGATTTATTTAGCGTCCGCGGATACGTGCTATTTGAAGAAACGAATGTATGGATCTTTGTAAGTCAACTTATTTCAATGTATCAAAATGTTCTCTTCTCTCGACTCTCGAAATCTAAGATTTCTATTATCAATGTCAAAAAATACATAACCGAAAGAATCATTAATATCGAGAACAAAATTTCGAAACAGACACAATATAGAAACTGGATGGATCAGGCCATCGAAGAAAAGAATAGTCTCTGCCTCGAGCAATATATTCGATGGAAAAGTTGCGTTCCGGTATACGCGCCACTGGCAAGAATGCGTGTACTGTGTACAACGTTGCGTCACTGACAGTCAACAACCCGATGCATATGCGCAAGCATAAAATCGCTAATTTTCCGATTCCCGAGTGCGAATTATTATAATTTGCCCTGTGGTTTTTGTTTTTAATAGTTTATCTCGAGAGAATTCTTTTATAAAAAATTGCGGTTTCCGAAAGTCGCCTTTAAAGTTAAAGAGCTTAGACTGTGTAGATTTATCTCTGTGTCGTCTTTCTCCTATTCTTCGAAAAGCATTTTGCTTTATAGACTATTCTCTTTTTTTTAATGAACGCGAGTAATATATTTATACGTATATGTGATTTTGTGAATTACAAAATTGAAAATATTTAACGTAAATCCGTACCTGCTTAAGGAATATTATTTATTACTTTTTTGCTAACGAATCTTTTAGGAAAAGCGTGTATATTTGTACAAATTTTTGTTAATAATAACTTTAGCTGCGATGTAAAATGTGTGAATAGGTATGACTATGTACACACTGTAAATAAAAAAAAGTACGAGTTGTAAATGTACACCACGTATGATGTATATTTTTTACAATTGTTATAAATGTATATTTTTAAACAATTGTTTACACCGATATTCGCATATAATTGTCTATTGTACATAAGGAATAAATCCGAAAAATTAGCAATTACACCTTCAATTATTGTGTTGTTCAATTAAAATTCCCTTTCACAATATGTATTTTTAATATTTTTCAAAAACTAATATACAAAGATGAAAATTCTGAGCATTAAATAATAAGATAACGAGTCACGAAAGTTGAAATTCCAGTTGTAATCTCTCTCTATCTCTCTCTTTCTTTCTCTTTTTCTCTTCTCCCACCATTCTTTATTTAAAAATTATTTTTGAGCTTTCACTTTATTGGGAATTTAGTTTTTTCAACAATAATTTTGCAATCATTTTTTGAAAAATGAGTGGAAAATAATTTTAATGATAAAAGCATTGCGGGTGGATAAAGAGAAAGTTTGAAATCTGCAGATCAAAGATGTTTACGCGCATATAAAAGACGGAAGTGGAATATGCTGTGAAATTCTTACCGAATGTTGTGTATACATTTTCGAAAATAATCATTCAGATTCAAAATAAATTTTATCCACTTTGAAAATTTGAATTATTTTTCCTGACTAGTATTTTCTATTAGAAAAACTTTTTGGTCTTCAAAATTTACTCTCTGACAATAAAAAAAGTTTTTCTAATAGAAAATACTAGTCAGGAAAAATAATTAAAATTTAAGGATTAGATAAAAACTGTTTTGACTCCAAAATTTGTTCTCTGACGATAGTCATATTTTGGTGACAAAAAAGTTTGTCGCAGAGAATAAATTTTGGAGACAGAAAAGTTTTTCTCGCGTTAAAAGGAATAATTTTCACATGTTCGAGATGCCAACACCTTTTGGTATATTAAGAATGGCAGCAAATAAGAGAATATGCTTTTGCGTATAATTCTCATGCGTATATGTGGGTATAAACCACACCTAGATCCACGTCAAGATCACTCGAGATTTCTGAGCGGATCGGAGGGTACTGGCTGAGGTTTTAAAAAGGCTGTTATTAAGCATCGTTAAGTGGTTCGTTATGACAAATCAAGATTTTTCTCAGCCCACACACTTTGAAACAAAGGGCACTCGAAACTTATTATATATAACATCCTGCCCAGAAAACATCTTCTTCTTCTTTTGCTTCTTCTTCTATGCTAACAAATTTACCGCCAGATGTTAAACAACCTTCACATGTCACCTGAAATCCCGCTTTGAAATTTATTACCTTTTAATAACAGTCGCTATGGAAGATGATCGATTCCCCACCATCGGCAGTGGAGTGCTCCAAACTCTCGGGGCTGATAGTGCGATCCAGGTGTCACATAAAAATAAATAACAATAAATAAAATGTCGTGAAAGGGCAAGGAAGAATTACAAATATTACGTTGAATTGTGAAGAATAGGAATTTAAAATTCTATTACCAAAAAGCAGTTAATGAGAGATTAGGGGTTCGCGCCCCGCGGTGATAGCTTCGCTCGGTGGGGGAAAGTCTAACTTCCCCTCACGGGAGCGAATTGATAATCACCAGCAGTTTCCAAGTTTTTTGAACACCAACACGCTCTCTTTGATGCAGAGCCTCATTCATGAATCAGCAGTCCTTTTACCATTAAACAGACGATACTCGAGTATCGTGTTTATGAATCATTTGGAATTGGATATTATGGCCAATGGCACCTGCCGAAGGAAAAGCAAGCCGCATGACAATTGGCTAATAGGACTGGATCTGGCGATGATAGTGAAGATGAAGCGGCGGTGTTCATAAAGCGTCGTCCTCTCTTCTCTCTCGTTCGAAAAAGGAGACGTGGAAATTGTTTCATAATGAGAGTTATGTTAGAACAACGTGCCGTATAGTTGAGTAGTCTTTGTTTTAGAATGAGCGTTTTACCACACGGGCGATTATCAATTCGCTCCTTTCAGGGGAAGTGGACTTCCCCTTCCAAGACGAATGACTAATGCCTGTGTGCCCCAAATCGAATTCGGGGCGGGCAGCACGATCGAGATGTCGCATAAAACTGCCTATAATTTTCATTATTTGAAAAAAGTCAATGAGAAAAGAAAGCATTGGAGAAAATGAATGTTTTGTTTCTAATGAGACAATTAGTACGATCATCATTCCCTAGACGTATTAAACTTGGTGAGTTTATACCTCCGGGGTACATCATCGACATGAAATCAATGACATAGGCTCCTCGCAGAAATACTGCATAGTGCAAATGAATCCGTACATAATAGCCTTTAATTTCAATTGAAGGGCTGGATGTAGCAACTGACCCTACACCGAAAAAACGTTAATCTAAATTTAAGAATATCTTCTTGGTTCCTATTTAAGTATATTGTATACTTAAATAAACTATTATACTACTCTTAAAATGAGAATATATTCTTATTTAAGAAAATATATTTTAGTTTATATTTTTCTTAAAATATATTTTCTTAAAATAAGAATATATCTCATTTTAAGAATAGTATAATACTTAATTTAAATATACAATAAACTTAAATAGGAGCCAAGAATATATTCTTAAATTTAGATTTACGTTTTTTATGTGTACGCGCTGTCTCACTGCTCACTGACTGGTATAGTCCTTTTCGATGGCGCATAGGGGCAGTTGCTACGTCCGGCCCCTCAATTATTAATAAAAAATAAAAACTTTAATTATTGACTGAAGAGAAATACGTTTTTTCCAATTAAACTTTCTAAATCTGAAACAGCGATAAGAATACAAATATAATTCCAATTAGCGTATATACGCTTTTTGAAATTAGTTGTATACTTATCGCTGTGAAACAGTGAAATTTCGCTTATTCAAATTTAGAGAGAAGAAACAAAACATTCAATATCCAAAACCTGAAAATAAAATTAATTACTAACTGCGCTACCGACGCAGTTTCAACACTGAAAAAATTATATTCTGATTTTAAGAAAATCTTCTTAAATATGCGCCAAGAATATTCCCTACTTCAATTAAGTGGGGAATATTCTTGGCGCATATTATACGATTTTTTTTTACTTTTTCTAACTTTTCTTTCCAAAAAGTGCAACTGTTCACCACTTATTTTTAAAAAATACGACATTTTGAATTTTTCAACTTTTTGTGACTTATATTTAAAAAAAAGGATATTTCGACTATTACTTACCTTTTTTCCCAAAAAAGTACTACTTTTCGACACTTATTTTTGTGAAACATGACTTTTCCATTTTTTGTGACTTTCTTTTTAATAATATACGATTTTTCCTGATCTTTTCTTACCAAAAAATGGAACCTTTCGACATTTATTTTGATGAAATATAATTTTTTCTTTTCGTTTAATTTTTGTGATTAGTCACAAAAATTTTAAATTGTTCTAAAAATCTGTCCCACGTTATTTAAATTTTGTCTCATTTTAAATCTTAAAATTTCTAAAAAAATTCTTAACGAGTGTTTTACATTTTGATACCGTCAACTTTGGCTAACAGCTATCAAAGGTAGAGAAGAAAGAATTTCATGGGTTTAGGCAGCTTGAAAAATAAATTTTAGTATTTTCTCGGACCCTCCAAAAAGTTTCCAGAAATTAAAGAAGTGAGATAAATTTCTTTGAACAAGGAAGAGAGTCCCAATTTCAGACCCTTTGAAAGTTTCCGAAAATTAGAATGACGAGTGGCGGATGTGAAAGCAATTCGGACCCTTCGAGAGTTTCCGTAATTTTTGTACGGTTAGGGAAAAAGTATAAGCTTTATAGGAATATCGTGGCAAAATAAATAAATGAATTTAAATTCCGGACCCTCAAAGAGTTTCCAGAATTCTAATATACGGAATGGAAAGAAAAGAATTTTGGACCCTCCAAGAGTTTCCTGAAATTCCTTTTGACGAGATAAGAGGCAAGAGAAAATAAGGTGTTTATTACAGGGGGAAAACTGAAAGGCAAAAATACACGACTGTGCGGGTTGGCGGCTCATAAGCAAGTGTCGGAGAGAGCTCCGTCTCTGGGCTCTCTGACTCGGCGTGGAGGGAGGACGCTACATGGTGGGAGCAAGCAGCGCTCGGATTGGTTCGAGTCGTCACGTGAGAGCCTTGCGCTATAGAACCCGGTCTCGGGACTAACCGAGAACTACTAACTACTAACCGAGAACTACATAAAATAAGGGGACGAACGCGAGGCTTGGAAGGGATACTACCAGTCGGGTAGCAGTGACAAGCCTTGAGCCGCTCGCTGCTACCTGACTGATATTATCCCTTTCAACCACGCGTTCGTCCCCTTATTTTATGTAACCCTTCAATTGAATTGGGAATTTCGAAAAGGGCTCAACTCGGATTTTTTTTAAATTTCACTTTTTCGTATTTTTCGCATTATTATATATACTGGACAATACTGGACTCTTTTAATTAAAGCTGTTTGAAATAAAACGTTTTTTGTCTCTCCTGTAAAATTTAAAAAAACCGAGTTGAGCCCTTTTCGAAATTCGCAATTCAATTTCGTTCGAAGACAGAAATAACAAAACGCAGTTAAATATATATATAGTTTTTATTAACATAATTTTACGCATATGAAATCCACGGGGTCTGTCTCGGACGAATGCGTCGATTCACGAAATCAAAATTACAGAACTCATACAATATATACCAAAAAAAAATCCAAAATAGAATTCAAATTGACTCGAAGAAAAAAAATATATAATTTCATAATCTCTTAATATTTACAATGTACCTTACATGCATATCTCTCACTACGCACTAGTAGTTTACAATTTAAGAACTTACATCTATCTCCCATTTTTTCTTTCAATAACACTGCTAAACGTTAAACATTAGCGTAGAAAAAACACAAAATAGAATAATTCACTTATAAATATACGTAAAATGTAAAGGACAAAAAACAAATAAAATGCGCATTCATAATGACAATTTGTTAGTCAACAGAAAAAAAAATAATAACCCTTACTAAAATAATGAATAAAGAGATATGATTTAAAAGAAAGTAATAAATAAAAATTTCCTCACGTGATGATTGTTCTATATAAAATGTAAAGAGAAAAACAATAAACCCGCCTAAATAAAAAAAAGGAAATTTTCATTTTTTTTTAAACAATGAACGCCCGACATTCTAAACGTTAAAGATTAGC